ACAACACAATTCAAACTTCAATGGTGGACGATTTTTTTTCTTTTGAACGAACAAGAACGAATCAAGAAGACACAATTAATGCAAAATTCAGTATTTAAAACTATGCAAAACAATAAGACAAACACAACGGAACCCTATGGAAATTAATTTCAAGAACTCTATGACAGGATTTGGAATAGATCAAAGAACAAACTAAACTCCCCTCTTTGGCACCCAAAGCTTAAAGAAGCAAGAACACCAATAATAGAGTAAAAGAATAAGATAAACGCCACATATAAATTGATAAGTTTACCTACCTTGATTCTTGATGCAATTAGAGGAATGCAATCTCACAATCTCTCTAATCAAAAGTACACGCCAAAGCATGAACAAGCTGTATCTTTATTAATTCATTGAATGATTTGTTTAACAACATAACAAAGCTATTTATACTAAAATCTAAAATCCTGATCCTTAAAGGATTTAGAATAACGAATCCAACTAAGGATAAGGATAAGGATAAGGATTAACTAATCTAAACCAACTAAGGATAAGGACTAATTAATCCAATCCAACTAAGGATAAGGAATAACTAATCCAAATAAACTAACAAATAAACTATAGGATAAGGAATATTAATCCAAACCAACTAAGGATAAGGAATTAATTAATCCAAATCAACTAAGGATAATGATAACTAATCCCAAATAAACTATGGATAAGGAATAATTTAATCAAAACCAACTAAAGGATAAGGAATAATTAATCCAAACCAACTAAGGATAATGAATAACTAAATCTATTTAAGTCAACTATGATAAGTATGAGGAATAATTAATAAAAAACCAACTAAGGATAAGGAATAATTAATCCAAACAACTAAGGATAAACATAAAAGGGTGGTCCCAACCCATTAATAACATTACAACTCCCAAACTAATAAAAATTGTTGCTAACTTTATTACGCAAAGTTAGGGCTCTAGTATGGCCCAGGGCATATGCTACACCATCAAACATATGCCCTCCAATAATGTAAGAACCGCTAGGTTTTGGCCCTCCAAGTTCACACAACACTTGTTTGAAAGCAAAGATCATGAAGCTCTTGTGTAACTTGGTACTTGTAAAGCATATAAGGACAATTGGCCTGCCCATATCTCTTTTATGTATGGACTTCTTGTAATTGGTCCACTAGGAAGCACTAATGACATGGCTGCCCCATATCTCTTTGTATGACTTCTTGTAATTGGTCCACTAGGAAGCACTAATGGATTTTCCATGTTGTTCTTCTTGTTCCCTTAGACTCCATGGATGAGTGATGGTGTATCATACAGAAGCTCATGAGGATGAGAAATTGTAGTTGGATGAATCGAAAAAGAGGGCTCTTGTAGGAAAAATTATTTCTACTACCTTTACTATTGGAGACTTAGTGTAAACTACTTCTTTGGTTGAGGTTCTCTCTAACTCAACGGTGGGAACTGCTCTGCAGACCCACCGAGGAAAATGATTTGTGCAAGTTGGAACTACTGAGGCCTAGGCAACCTCCGGGCAGTTCGTGCTCTTCGTGCGCTTGTTAGAAGTAGTAGGCCTAATATTTTATTTTTAGTTGAAACTCTAGTCCAAAGTAGTAGAATTGATGATTTAAAATAACAGTTACAATTTGATTATTATTTTGTGTAGACAGGCTTGGTTAATTAAGGGGGTCTGGATATTTTATGGAATAACTTGATTTATATCAGGTGCTGGGGTATTCTCAAAATCATATTGATATGCTTGTTTCCTCGCCTTCGGGTGTGGGTTGGAGACTTACAAGGTTTTATGGCTTCTGAAAATTGGTCGTCACATAGAATCGAGGAAATTTCTTAGGGCTCTTTCTCGATTATATTCCTATCCGTCGGCTATTATAGGTGATTTTAATAACCCGTTCTTGGTGAATGACAAATGGGGAGGAGCTAATCCTTTGATGGATCTTATCAATGGGTTTCGGGATACTATAAATAATTATGGTTTGATTGATTTACCTTTACTGGGAGCTTTATTTACTTGGGAGCAACATCATAATGGTTTCATGGTTCTTAAGGAACGACTTGATAAGTGCATGGTGAATGAAGCTTGGAATGATTTATTTCAGGACTCCCGACTTTTGGCTTTAGTGACGTCAGTATCGGATCATTGCGCTCTAAAGCTAGAGATTGATGTGGTTCGGTGGATAGGAGGGCTCCGAAAATTCATGTTTGAGAACTCTTGGATGTTACATGAGGGAGCTTATGCAGGTCGTTGAGACTAATTGGGTCAATTCGGCTACTGACAGTTTGCTTTAGCAATTCCATGCTTGTGGCATGTGCTGCTTCAGTGGGCTAAGCACTTGCCATCCAATTTTTCATCTCGCATTGCACAGGTTAAGCAATAAATCTCAGCTTCATATTTGAATAATAATTTTTTAGACTTGCAGGATATTGGACTTCATTCGGTGTTAAACTTGCTTTTGGAGCAAGAAGAATGCTATTGGAAACAAGGAGCAAGAGGAATGCTATTAGAAACAAAGAGCAAAATGTTTTTGGCTCCAACATGGAGATCAAAATTCAAAGTATTTCCATGCTCAAGCTTCTTCCAAAAAAAGAAATAATTATATGAAGGCTCTTCAAGATGATCCTTGTAACTGATTCTCGGTTAAATCAGGTATGAGTAATATTGTTACTAATTAGTTTACCCACCTTTTTTTTTTTTTTACAATACTGGTGATTATGATGTTGTGCTGAATTTTATTGAGCCAAAAATCACTCTGGATAATAATAATATGTTGCTTGCTCCCTTCACTAAAGAAGAATTTAAGACGATTAATTTCAAATGCACCTAGACAAGTCCCTGGGGCTTGATGGCTTAAATCCTGCTTTTTTTTCAAAAGTAGTAGTATCTCATTTGGTAAGGATGTAGTGGAGACCGGTTGTTCTTAGCTTAATAGTGGTTCATTTTTTTTCGGATTTTTTTAATGACACTCCTAATGCATACTCCGCAAGTGCATGGGTTGTACAAGTAGTATAGAAAAGCTATCATCTCCATAGGGATTGGGTTGTTGATTACTAGACTATTACAGTTTTGATTATCTAGAATTTTGGAATATCTTAACCAAATAATAAATAATTAAATTTATAAATAAAAATATTAATAAATAAAAGCAAACAAGATAAACTGATATGAACTACAAAATATAACTCATCAATATGGAAAGATAATCTAGTTATGGGATATCTATTAGCTTAATGAGAACCGCGAATAGTTAATTGCGTATGTCTATTCCTGAAGGAGGACTAACCTAAAATATCCAAATTCCTCTTCCAAGGCTAAATGAATGTGTTAGAATCAAAATGACATCTACTTTCATGGTACTACATTGATTGAAACCCAATGAGCTGGTGTTAATCCTTAAACCCTCAATCAATATTAGAAGAATAAATTATACAAGGAAAGGATTGACCACCTTAATGGTAGGATCAATCCTTATACAGTAAAAAGGAAAGGATTGACCACCTTAATGGCAGGATCAATCATTTCCTAAATTAGACGATAAAGGATCCTTAGAGTTATGTTAAATTGCTATAAATTGTCTATAAGACAAGAGTTGTGTACAGAAAAAAATTACAATAAGAATTGAAACCTCTTCTTCAAACCTAAAACTCTAAATCTAAGATGGTATCAGAGCAGTATCGATCCTAGGGTTCGATTACTTGTTCATCATTTACCAGCAACTTAATGGTATCAGAGCAGTATCGATCCTAGGGTTCGATTACTTGTTCATCATTTACCAGCAACTTACCTGTCCAGCGACAGGAGTGATGAAGCCAACAACAGTGTCAATCCAGCATTGACTGAAGCCACAGAAGCCTTGTCAACACAGATTGCCTAGTTGTTAAAACAACATACCACAATTCAATCAAATAGTAACCAAATAGCCTTAGTCGATATTAAACTAAATGATCACAACTACTCCCTGTGGTCAAGACTGATGCGATTGGACATCGGTGTAAGGGGACGATTGGACCATATCATTGGAAATTCCCCACCTCCAGCCATAGAAGACCCAGTGTTTGCCATATGGGAGCAAAAGGATCTCCAAGTTTTTTCATAGATCATCCAAGCCATTGAACCGGACCTAGTTAGCCAGTACGTTGAATATTCGACGGCCAAAGACCTGTGGGATGGTCTTGCAGCTACGTACCGGAGCGGGGAAGATGCGTTGCAAATCTTCGACTGATGAAGAAAGCAAATAGACAGCAACAGGGGCAACTAACACTGGAAAAATATTACAGTATTTTTCAAGCAATTTGGCGAGAAATAGACAGAAGACAACCCAATCCAATGACAAGCCCAGCAGATATTTCTACATTTAATAGATTAAAGTAAGAAAGTCGACTATACCAATTTCTTGACGGAATGGATAATCGATTTGATTCGGTCAAGCGTGATTTATTGAAAGAAATTTCCTTACCATCCGTTGAAGCAGTGTATGCTACCGTCCGGAGGGAGGCCACCCGGATGAACATACTCAATCCATCGGCAGCCATGGACAATGGTGAAACTCTAGGCATTGGTAGTGGGTTAGCCGCAAGAGGACAGGGGGAGAGGTCTAGGTCGATGGTGAAGAAAAAAAATCAGGTGCACAGTGAATCGTAGCCCTAATCAGACTTGGCAAATGGAGCAGCAAGTTCATTATTTCAAGGGAGAATTGATCAGAGTGGCTCAAGTGTTCTCGTTGCAACCTAACCGGACACATCAAGGATGAATGTTAGACTTGGCAAACGGAGCAGCAAGTTCATTATTTCAAAGGAAAATTGATCGGAGCAGCCTCAAGTGTTCTCATTACAACCTAACCGGACACATCAAGGATGAATGTGTTCATCTCATTGGTTTTCCTGAATGGTGGAAGGACAACCCAAAGAGGAGAAATTGCGATCGGGAAAAAAGTGGCCGAGCCGCTGCCATGACGAGAAGCCAGGAGCTCACCGGCGTTCATAGCAGCGGCGAAGATGGAGGATTTGCTGCCTTTGGAATAGGAAGAGGGGCGGCCGAAGCAAGGCGGCCGAAGCAAATGGGAGAGGAGAAAGAGATGGGACAAGTATAGGGTTTGGGAAGGGAAAATTACCTCCAAACCCTTCAATTCTTAAACCTATTTATTTTGCACCTAATTGTTTTGATCTACTTGAATTAAGTACTGAAAGTTCTGATTGTATGCAATCAAGTCCTGATGCCTTTAAAACAATTCAGATTGACCTCGGAGGTTTTGAGAAAAAATAGAAAAAAACCCAAAAAAAATAGAAATCATTCCCGGGGTATGAGAAAAAAATTGGGTAGGTCAAAAATAAATAAATACCCCTCAGCCTATATAGCCTAAGAACCGAAGCATGGAAAAAAAAAAACCCAATGGTTATTTGACTGTGCGGCAACTGATAAAAACCCAATGGTTATTTGACTGTGCGGCAACTGATAGCATGACCTATGATCCCTCTAATATTATTATCCCATCAGCTCCAAAAAAATTTAAAATTCAGACCGCCAGTGCAGATTTTGTACCTATTAAAAGGGCAGGGTCTATAGAGTTATCCCCAACCCTGAAATTGTCCAAATGTCTCTATGTCCCATCATTGTCTTGTAAATTGCTATCCGTTAGTCAATTGACAAAAGAACTGAATTGCACGCTTCTAATGCATCCGAATTTTTTTCTTTTATAGGACATCCAAACAAAGGAGATCATTGGACGTGGCACTAAATACGATGGTTTGTGCTATGTTGACGAAGTGGCTCAGAAAGGGTCCGCACTACTAGCTCATAGGACGACTGGTCGACAGAGTTGGTTATGGCACCGACTATTGGGACACCTGTCACATGGTTACCTCAAAATCTTTTTTCCTCAGTTTTATAATAATACTCCTTTTGATACTTGTGTTTTGGCAAAAAGCCATAGGTAGCCTTTTTTTTTTCTAGTGACACTATTGTTGAACATGCATTTGATTTAGTACACTCTAATGTATGGGGTCCTACTCCGAACTTTGGAAACAATGTTTTTAAGTATTTTGTGTTATTTATTGATGATTGTACTCGTATGACATGGGTATATTTTTTAAAACACAAATCTGAGGTTCCATAGATATTTTTTAAAACACAAATCTGAGGTTCCATAGAAATTTGTGCATTTTTACAATCTCATTTGTACCCAATTTCAAAAACAAATTAGAATACTCAAATCTAATAAATGGGGGGGGGGGGAATTTGTCAATCTTGCCATGCAAACCTTCTTCTGGGAAAATGGGTTAGTACACCAAACCACTTGTCCGAACACCCCCACAACAGAATGGTGTAGCCGAATGAAAAAATAGAATCCTTCTTGAAATCACCCGAGCCTTAATGCTTGAATCTCAAGTTCCTCAATCTTTTTTGCCTGAAGCCATAGCCACTGCAATGTACCTTCTTAACCGTTTACCCACTAAGATACTTAACCTAAAAAGCCCTCTACAATCTCTCTCTGAACACACCCAAGTGCCCCCAGCCTTGGCACTATCACCTCGAATTTTTGGATGCTAAGTCTTTATTCATATTCCAAAACTGAACATTCGAAATTTGATCCCTGCGCAGTCAAATGTGTCTTTATGGGATATGGGATTAACCAAAAAGGCTACCGCTGCTATAACCCCAAAACCCATCGTATGTTTACCACAATGAATTGCGACTTTCTTAAAACTGAATATTTTTACCACACCCAACACAATGGTATTTTTACCTACACCCAACCCAAATGGTCTAAGGGGGAGGTAAATAAGAAATAACCTCACAATGAGTTTGGATTACTCAGCCCAACTCTGTCAGTCGGTGATCCACATACAAAAGAAGCTAGTGGATTACAGTTTTTAGAGATGGATCTAGTGAGCCTGACATTCAGACAAATGTAGAAAATACGACTTCATTAACACACACCAATAAGACGTCGCATAGAATTTGATGATCCAGAAGAGTAAAAAAAGTACCCAAGTCATTTTAAATGATGTTACTTTTAGCTTCACATTACTCTGAAACAATGAACATGCAGCATCCTTGAGAACAAAAGTAGTTGCAGACTACATGGAGGATTAATTCTATCCTCATAGAAGCAACCCGGGGTATACCTCTCGAAGGGGGACACTCTCAGAACAAATGAACATAGAAACAAATCTAGATATCACAGCTGGCTAACCTTGCCCAGGTGGAGTTTGTCCCGACCGTAGCAAAGTGTTCACAATAAATACAATATTA